GCTATTAGATCTGCTTCTACCAAGTAATCTGTCTTTTTAGTGTGGTGTGTGCAGCGTAGTGCAGCATTGACAGATTCAGTATACAAAGCGATGTCTAGCTTACATCAGAAGCCAGTATGAGCGGAGGGATGTGAATGAAAAGGTTCAACATCCTGCATTTAAGTGAAGTAAAGTGTAGTAAATTATATGTGATTTCCAAACATAGCTCTTGTTGGAACACATAGTTTCTCCTCTTTCAAAGCCGTGTCACCAAGATTTCTGATATGAAAAGATATCACATTGGGCCTCTCCACCATGGCCTCAATACTTTTTGAAACCATTTTTAAAGGATATACTTTTCTCGACATTATCAAAGAGTACTGAAGCTTTAAAAAAAAACATCTATTTCACATCAACGTCATCAGCGTCAACATTTGCAGGCAAACACCTGCGCACTGTCTAAATTGTGGTACCAAAACATTGCCGATGTATTCGAGCCATTTAGACATCGTTGTTCCTACATCCAGCATATTTTATCTTTACTGTGACAGTAGCCCTTTTCTCACTGCGTTTACGCAAAAGCGCAGTGACTAAGCTCAGCTCAGTCTTTGTACATTCATTTTGATCCATGATGGTGTAATATTCTTGTCCCACTTTGTGAAATCACAATGCTTTTTGGCGTTGCTGAAGCCTAGCGGGATGCTCCACATACACACAGTCTGACATGCACGCACACACACAGCACTGTGCTCCCCTGCTGGCTCTGCTGATCCCGTCTCGTCATTGTAACGACTCTGTTACCACTTCTGAAGATGGTACAGAGGGGGGGGGGGTCACTTTGTCCTCCCATTACGCCTCAGAGACATTCAGATTGAAGGTGAAATGCCACAGAGATGTTTCTTGAAACGGCAGTCTTGACACAGAGAGAATAAAATCCAACTGTTATATAACTTTACTTCAGGACTAATGAGGGCCCTGTCTTCCACTGGGGCCCTGGACAGTCAGTCCTATCCCCCCCCCCCCCTTTACTACTCCTGTGCCCCAACATATGCAAAGATGAATGCACATAAGAGGATTAAAGTGAAATAATAGTAACAGCCCACAAAATAAATGTTTAAAAATACCAAGAGCCATGAATACTTTGGAATACATTTATTTGGTACATTTCACATTTGGCATTCCTCTACAGCCAAACAGGCGATGATGATTTATCACTTAGGTAACGGTTAACATAAGGCACATGGGCGTACAATGCCACTGATCTGCTGGAAATGTTTTCAGAAGAAAACAAGAAAAAGGAAAAACTCAAGGCACAATCAAAAGCCTATTTTCAGCAGTAGTTTTATGATAATCAGATTTGTGAACTGATCCATGCAATATTACAACTGACAGAGACACACACACACACACAAACACACACACACACACAGGGTTCTAGCTTCAGAGACACACACACACACACAATCACAGACACACAATTCAAACAGACATTTTCTGAATGTTAATAATATGTCTCCTGCTCCACCCAACCTGGAAGAGAGAAAGAGAGACAGAGAGAGAGAAAAAGAGGGGAAAGTGTCAGAGCCCGAAAATGACAGGCGAGCAGATTTCATAAATTCCTTTTGTTTCAATCTATTTGTATTCATCTCATTGCCTTTGTCTTTGTACATTTCCAAATGAATCC